GCATAACACTTTTTGTTTATATAAAATACATGTTTTTATATATATAAGGGTTGGTATTTATCTATTTTATTTTTAAAAATTTAGGAGAAAAAAAAGTTAAATATTACCTTAATGCATGTTTTAAAAATAAGGTGATTTAATTTTTTTAATAAAAATTTATTGAAATGATGTAATTTTAAGATAATTTTTTTTTAATCTTTAAAAATTAAGGTTGATAAATATTTTTTTCATATATATATATATATGCAATGCATACGTAGGCGCTGAGCCAAGACGGCACAGAAGGTAAGTAAAATTTTCTTTAATCTTAACTCTAATCAAAACGGTCGCTTTCCCTTGCGATAAATGGGTTTGTTGCGACAATTCCAGAACCCAACCTTCCGCCTCCTCCACTTTACCTGCAAAGACTCCCGAAGACTAACACTCCCCCTGCAATACTTAAGCCAGAGAAGGAATATCCGATTCTCACTTTCATCATCTTCTACCCTTAAGAGCAGCCGCGAACTGGTATTAGTGAGGGCAGTCAACACAGAAGCGACGGCAACACAGGCCTCGAAAATGGTCAAGGCTATCAGGGTACATGAGCTTGGTGGACCTGAGGTGAGGCTATACGGCTGTCCGCTTTTATTTTTCTTTTGGTTTCATGTTTTTATCTGGGTACATGAGTGTAATGCTATTTCTTGTCTTGAAAGTTGAAACCCCCTGTTGAACAAAGATCAACAAATGGGTCTGTTTAAGATGGACAAAAGTTTGTATCTTTCTTTGAATTTGGGTACTTTAGATTGAATTATTGGGATTGATATTCATTTGACTTAATCTGGATTGGTATTGATTGGTTACAGGTGCTTAAGTGGGAGGATGTTGAAATAGGGGAGCCCAAAGAGGGAGAAATACGCGTTAGAAACAAAGCTATTGGGCTTAATTTCATTGATGTGTATTTCCGGAAAGGTGTTTATAAGGTTGCCGTAATTCCCTTTACTCCAGGTTGGTTACTTTTTCCCTAATCTTATAAGATACAATTTTCCTGCCATTAACATGTGCAAGCTGATGAAATCATGAAAACTGATTTGTGTTAATACTGAACGGCGAACCATACTAATTCATCAATAAATAGTTTGTGGCTGAGTCATGTGCTGTAGAAAAGGAGTATAAAAAAGGACCAGCTCTTTTTGAATACTATAGAGAGCATTTCAAATTGTTCATATGGTTAACTCAGTTATAGGATAAATAATAAATAATTGTTTTGTGCATTCAGTTTATCATTCTTTTTTGCTGGATGTTTGGTTGTTTGTTGGTGTATAGTGTGTGAAAATTTTCTTTTGAAGTATTTTCCATTGCAAGGCTATTGCTTCTATGGTTGGACTGTTTGAAGTGGTATTTTTGTTGTGAATAATACTTCTGCAGAGTCATAAAGTTTTCTTCTTCTATTGCAGGTATGGAGGCTGTTGGAGAGGTAATAGCTGTGGGGCCTGGATTGACTGGCCGAAAAGTTGGAGATATTGTGGCTTATGCTGGTCAGCCTATGGGATCATATGCTGAAGAGCAAATCCTCCCAGCTGATAAAGTTGTTCCTGTTCCTCCTTCTGTTGATCCTATTATTGCAGCATCGATCATGCTGAAGGGTATGACAGCTCAATTTCTGGTTCGTCGCTGCTTCAAGGTAAAAAACATATTAACTCCATGTTTTTTAGGCACTATTTAACAGTCTTGTTTGTTTTTCCCCTGGCATTAGCCCTCCTCTCCACAACTTTCTCTGAGATAAAAAACAAGGCATTACATATGTTATCTCAATGAATTGTTAATTTTGTTGCATTGTGTAATTTTGTTTGACACAGGTTGAGCCTGGACACAATGTCCTTGTTCATGCTGCAGCTGGTGGAGTTGGATCTCTATTATGCCAATGGGCAAATGCACTTGGTGCCACTGTT